TGTGCACATGCGCGCGCACGTGCGCGCACACACACGCACACACACATACACACCTGAAACTTGTAGAATAGATTGCTCTGATCTACTATAACTGCTAACAAGATCTCACCACCAGTGTAATTGATAAACGTGCTGATTTGAGTTTTCTTTTGTTCTAGCACTATGAAAGTTCACATAATCTCTTTCACATTACAGCATGTCATTCAAGGTGACTGAAGCCTGTTTCACAGGCCATGATCTCTCATGTTTTTACCATCATGGACTTTATTATTTCCTTGGAGGCAAGAGCTGCCCTTTGCATCTCTAAAGCCATAAATGCTGGGGTCATTTCACCACCTGCTATGGCCACAGCATTCCCGTCTCCATTAGCTTTTCCTTGGTATGTGGAATGCATCGCCTACTGTCATCACTGTTCCTGGAAACTTACCATTACAGTTTTTGGATCCAGACCGATCAAATTAGAATCCCTCGTAGTAAGGCCAAGTGGGCTGCAGTTAGCAGTATTCCTAACTAACTTTAATGCACTCAAAGGATAGAATGCTATCTCACAGAAAAGAACCGGAATTCTTAGAATAGCATATAAGGCCATTAATGTTATGGACCCCATATATCTTAACTAATAGATCTATTAAGACTTCCTCCATACACTATGCTCCAGCTCTCTATTTTCAATATCAGAGAACTATAGCCTCTCTCAACACATTGATCATGCACATCTGATATCCCAGAAGGCTGAGGCGGCAGGATGGTAAGTTCAAGACCAACCTGGATTAGAGTGAGTTCCAGGATACCCTGGGCCACTTAGTGGCTCTCTCTCCAAATGTGTGTGTGTGTGTATTTATATATATGTACATATATGTATATATGTATGTGTGTACATATATGTGTGTTATATATCCAATATATATGTATATATAACAAATAGAACATATATATTTATACTAATTTGTAATTTCATAAAAAAGCACAAATGAATAAAGAAGAAATTGAACACTCAGTTTCCTACAGAGGACAGGGAGTAATAAGATGAAAGGATCACACATAGATTCAAGAACCATCTATGTATAACTTCTTATATAAATGTTATAAAATATATCAACTCCTCCAAAAGTTAGATACAGATATAATACCTCAGTTTCTAAAATCAGAGTGATACAAACTTTGTTTTCCAAGGTTTCTCCATTTAAAATCTCACTACTTAAATTTTTTCTGCCTTTTATGGTATTATCCCTGATTATGTCAGTTGTAAGAGTCTATCTTTTTATGTATATACATACACACATACACAAAAGTTTAAATTCAGCCTCTGCAAATGAGAGAAAATGTTTAGTCGTCTTTCCGAGTCTGGCTTACTTTGCTTAGCATGTATTTTTCTTCAAATTTCATTTTTATTAATGGTTACTAAAATTCCTTCGGGTTTTATATGCCATGTTTTCTTCATCAGCCCATCCTTTGACAGAGAATTACTCACCTTTCCACTACATTCTCCAATGACTTGTTTTACACATTTGACTTATGTGCTTGTATCCCCCTTGGTTATCAGGGGTTGATCTTAACACCAGTACATTTGGCCTTAAAGGCGGAGAGTAGTGGAATTAGATGAGTGGATGGGTGTCAGGCTTTGTAGCCTATATAGATATTATTGATAATCAGTGACTGCATAAACACCTAGACAGTGGAAATCCATTTACCCAGACCCTCTGCCTTACTAAGGTGGGTCATTAAGGATACTGATGATTGTAAGCTTCACCATATAGCTTAATTCTCTTCAATAAAATTGAAGACAAAAATATTTTAGGCTAGAATGTATTCTGTCATTCTTATTTCTATAAACAATTTATATGTTGTCTCTTCTTGTCAATGTATTCCACACCCATCAGTTTTCCTACATCCTTTTTATTAATTACCTTTAAACATTCATTCTTTCAGAAGATGCTGTCGGGGCTGGGATGTAGACCAGTAGATAAGAGCGCTTGCTGTGCAAGCAGGAAAACCTAAGTTCAAATCCCTAGAACTTCTGTAAAAACCTGTCACTCGAGTGTCAGTGTGTGGAATAGGCAGATACTGGGACCTCTGGTGGAAACAACATGCTCATGTTCCTCGAGAGACACTGTCTCAAAAAAATAAAGTAGAGATATCAGATGTCTTCTGATGGCCTCTGAATGTAGTCACGCTCAGGGAGAGTGAAGGATCTGTATGTAACACACACATACACGCACACACAAACACACACAGGGGTAGGGAAGGGAGAGGGAAAGAGAGGGGGAGGAAGAAAGTTTAAAGTATTCCTTGTGTTTTAGCCCTTAATATTTGGGGATCCATACCTGTGTCAAAGTATTTTCCAAGTTTATATTTTTCTAGGAGTAAGAAATTCCCACCTGCTATATTCTACCTCATTTTATCCTTTAATACAGAACCATTACCCAGCAACTTCTTCCGATCTGACCAATCTATGTTCTTCTCACTCATTATATACAATATTCTTATGCTATAGTGAGACTTTACATAATAACAATAAAGAAAGCCTTTATACATGAATGCATTTTAGCATCCCATATGCCTGTGTTGGCAAACCCATAAGGGCACCGGAGTTTGCAAGAGTCTCGTGACTTTCTTTAGACTAATGTCTGAAACATTAAGTTCTTAGTGTCCTTAGGCCCACAACAGATGTTACAATCACCTTACAAAATGAGCCAGCGGTTGAGGGCAGCCTATAATGTGTCTGGTTGTCAGCAGGCCTAGAAAAACTCTGGAGAAACACACAGTACTCACTTCATATTTAAGGAGAAGTAAAGCTTCTGGACAGTCTTCCAGCTGAAAATCAGACAAAGCTGAGATTTGGTTCACTGAGACCATGGTGCACGCCAAGTTTTCTTTTCCCATAACTGACTCCTAGCCTTGGCTGAAAGAGCTACAAGCCTTTCTCATAAGGGTAACCTGGGTCACCACACAGACAGGGGAGGGCCTTCCAGGAATTAGGTGAAGAGAGCCTCCCCAACCTCCAAATCAGGTCAGTGCCGTCACTCTTGGCGACAGAGATGCAAACTACAAGATCTGACTTCCATAACTCAGAAAAACACGACAACAACAAAATCTCAGTCCCCTACAGCTCACATTCAATCCAGATTTCTAGAAAACACCAGAGTAATGCTAAAAATTTTCCAAGGCGGGACCAGATGCTAACAGTATGACTGTGCCAAGATTGAAGTCGAAGATGTAATGACTTTTCCAAACTCCTCTGAACTAAGGAATGGGAACAGAGTGGCAGAGCTGGTAGGCAGCACATTTGACACTGAGAACACCTGGCTGAGGAGGACTTTTATCACCCGCCAGCAGCAGTCTGTGCTGGATTGAATGCCTGTTTCCTCTCCAGACATCTGGAGTATCATGAAGTCTGCTGGCTCAAGTGACTATGTGAAACTCCAGGAAACAAATAGTTTGAATCCCTGTTAACCACCAACTCTGCCTTTCTGTTATTCTCTTGGGCTGCTCATTTATCATCAACAGGACTAATGAAATCTGACCTGAAAGAGCAGTTGCAAGTCAGCAATATATAATTAGCAGAAAGCAATGACAATTGTGTTCCTGGCAACAACTGTGACAGCTCATTTAATCTCGACACTGCTACCTGACTCAATGGCGGTGATAAGGATGGCCACAAGAATAGTGCCTATTGTCATCAGGGGTGTGTGTATGCACAATCTTATTTCATCATCACCACACCCTGCAAAGTAGGTTCAATTTGTTTAAAGACTTCAGAGCTAACCTGCTCAAGATCATATAACAAATGATTTGTCACTCTGGCTGTGTGACCTTCAGAGATACTTCTTTTGTTTCTTGGTTTTATTTGACTGTTGCTATTTTTATTATTTTGAGGCAGAGTCTCACCATGTAGACTGGGCTGCCCTTAGACTCACAAAGATATATCTGCCTTTGCCTCCCAAGTACTGGGACTAAGGGTGTGAGTCACCACATTTGGCTATTGTTGTTGATTAAGGACATTATTCTCTCCCCCAAATGTATACACAGCAGAGGGACAGAGTTCACAAATCAGTTACTATGATGGGGATGGCATTTATTTGTCCTTTGTAGCCACCTCAGAGGATAGTGAGATAATGAGAACTGTTAGGAACTAGCAGCCAGCTGACCCCACCTCCAACAATGGGTGGGACGCTCATGGCCATGTCATAGCTACATCATCAGCCTTACCTGGAGGCTCAAGCTTTACCTGGCTGCCAGAGGACTCAGTTACGCATGCGCAAGCCCCCCTTTTAAAGCAAGCGCGCCAAGCGGCTGCTCTCTCTGGTCTCTTTCTTGCTCTCTCTCTCTCTGATCTCTCTCTCTGGTCTCTCTCTGGCTCCTGCTCTCTCTCCTGCTAAAATGGTGTTTGAAAAACATTTTTCTTACACTACCAAGGATTGAAACCAGGAACCTTTGAATGTTAGATATACTGAGATATCTTGGCTGTTCTCTCCTCCCTCCTCTCTCTCTCTCTCTCTCTTGGTCTCTCTCTCTGGCTTTCCTCTCTCTCTCTTGCTCTCTCTTTCTCTCCGCTCTCTCTCCTGCTTTCAGTTGGCCACCAGCTACCCCACCAATAAACTCAACGTGGGCACTGAGTCTCGTGTTTGTGTTTTATAGGCAATAGCTGCAGCAAAAGAACAACAACTATTGGTTACTACTGTGCCTATACTTAGACTACTACATTTTATATCAAAGCATTTGTTAGAACAATAGATCTTATGGTATTGTTGTTGTCACAATCAAAAGTGTATAGTTTAGAAAACTAGTCCATGTGCAAATCAAGCTGACATCATAAGTGTGACAGATGTGTCATTTGTATCAAGAGCTTTTATCAGAAAAATTCTGAGCTATGTTATATTATTTTGTATAAATATTAATATTTTCATATACTTTCAGAAGAAATATAGTCTGTGAAAAATATAGAGGATAATGAAAATAAAGAACTTAAAGAGCTTTAATTATTTAAGAAAATATTTTCCAGCCTCCTTGTGTTTGCCACAGGCTGTGTTCTTCCAGGGACTGTATAGAAAAAAGGAGGCAGAATAAACCTACCACATGTACAACTCAGCCTAGGCCATTGTGCATGGTCTGAACTGTGAATGGAAAGAATGGATTTGAGAAAAAAAATGAAAAAAAAAGATTTTCCAAAAGATAGGATTTTCCAAAAGATAGAACCTTTATTGGGAAGAAAGGTTTCAGTGGGAGAGGGAGGTGTATGAGAGAGGGTAAAAATGACCAAAATCACAAATGCTCGCATGCACGCGCACGAGCACACACACACACACACACACACACACACACGAAATTGTTACATAAAGTGTTTTATGCATAAAAAATTATACAAGAAGCCATTGCCTCTGGTGCCGCCTGAATATGAGGCTAACTAATCAGTTACTTTCGCAGCATGCCCATGGGATCTGCTGTGAATTGCAACTCAGCTGCCTGAGGCCAGTTGTGTCCCATGAACCTCGTACACATCATCAACATGAAAAATTGTGAAAACTCTGAAGTTCAGCCAAATTCTTCTTTCCAAAAGGATTTGAGTGAAGTTCAATCTGTATTTTCAGTGACTTTTCATTTAGCTTAACAGTTTCTAACTCTAACTAATTCCCTCTCCAAGTCTGCCAGCATCTAGGGGTCTGGCAGGTCCCCACATGAGATGAATCACTTGGATCATAAAGCATGTAGGCATATTGACTGGTGCTGCTAAAGGCAAGAGGACCCAGGACCCAAGAGAAAGGGGCTACATACTCTCTCATTCCCAACACCCAAAAAAAGAAAAGTACTACATATCTTTGTTTCACAATACTAACATCTTAAGCCAGAGTGTTCCTGGCTGCATAGGTATATAGATGGATGGATAGACTAGACAGACAGACAGACAGACATATGAATGAATTACAGGCAGACAGATGGATGGATGGACAGGCAAATAAACAAGCAGAAAGATATTATCTCTGTTGTCACAACCAGGGGATCCCCAGACATCCCAAAGTTTCTTTTGATCACCTCCAATCCCTTAACAACTGGCCCCACCACAGATAAGAGGCAAAAGCAAACAAACAAAAGACAAAACTATAAAATAATTTAGATCACCTAGCTGGAAGTGGTCAATTTTCAAGGTGCTGTTGTTAACAGGACCGAAGATGGTGACCACAGAGATCCTCCTGGTGGCCATCTTGCAGAAGCTTTCCAGATACTCATCCCGCTGCTGCACATACATGTTGTTCTCAGCCTTGGGAGTGGTGATCAGCTAGAGGCAGGGAGGACAAGCAAGTAAGTATTAGTTCATAGTGCTCAAGTCACTATGAGACCAAACCCCAAGACAACTTAGGGCAGAGGCCATCTAAACTGTAAACTGCTTCCTTAGACAGTTGTATAATCAATACCCAAAGTACCAATTAGACAGTCTTCCTTCCTTTATTTTCTTTCCTTCCTCCTTCCTTTCTTTTTTATTTGTTCCTTCTTCCTTCCATTTCTTTCCTCCTTCTTTTCTTTTTTATTTGTTCCTCCTTCCTTCCTTCCTTCCTTTCTCCCCTCTTTCTTTTCTTTTAAAGTAAAATAAAAATTAGTCCAGATAGTTTAGATGTCTCTACTCAGTTCTCTAATTTGCCTTCATTTCATCTGTGCTATGGTTTTCCTATTTGTGAACACACAGAAATATTATTTTTCAAGTCTGTCACATTCCGTGAATATCTGACATGCACTAATTATTTGCCCTCCTTCATTTTGATAGCCATTATCCTAACCAACTAATCAGATAATTCAGTCTTTTGTTTTGTTTTGTTTTGTTTTTACTTCCACAACGTTGAAAGAGTTTCACAGCCAGTCCTGCACACTGTGGATGAGAATTTTTATTAGGCAACCTTGCAAACAGTTTTATGATGGCTTTGGGGGATATATTTTGCCACACAGATGATATTCATTGTCCCACTGGGCCCAAGGAGGGAGATTCTGATACTACAGTCCAGGCCTACCCCATCAGTATAGCTTTAACTGTTTTACTTTGGCCTTCTCTCTAAACCAAATCTGGGATTTTCATCCATGTTTTATGACTCTTGACTTGTGAAGAAAAGGTACAGCAGAGGTATTTTGATTTCTAGCCATCTGGGGAGCTGTATCTCATTTTGTTTAGGTTAAAATGAGTATGCTTTGGTTGTATGTGTGAATGTACATATGTTTCTTTGTATGAGTATGCATGTAAAGTTGTCTGTATATGTATTTAGTTAATTATCTAGTGTCTCGGTGCTTTGAATCCTTCCTAACAGGAAAACTTCTCTGATCCTTTGATCATTTTAGTTGCCTTTTTCAGAACCTTCTCCAGTGTCGCAGATTTTCCAAGCTGAAACCAAAACTAATTTCCACATGCCAAGAATGGTTAGCAATACTTTGCTTGTCCTGAAAGTGGGAGAACGTGAAGCTGTATTCAGATGATGACCGGGTCTTTGTTGATCTCCTGGAACCAGGAGATCTCACATAACAGGTGTCCCCAATGAGCCTCATGCAGGCAACCTTTGTTGGCTCACCATGGAGCTTGGGAACAAGCTCCTCTATGTATTTATTATTTTCTGTAAACATTTTCTGGCATTTGGCCATATTCAAATTTAACAGCCACTTTTCTATTTACCCACCCAAAACTTATAAACTCTTCCTAAAGTCTGTGTCTACCAGGTTAGTATTTTTTGTGGGAAAAGTTACTATGCTAAATATGTTTTTTTATCAAAGGTGGCCAGTAAATTCGGCTCCAAGTTGATCTTGTTTATATATTTTATCCACCAGAGTTGTTTATTGATGCCTATAAACTTTCCCTGCTGAAATCTCAGTGCTTGACAAAATACTCCCTCCAGGAAATTAAGATGCTTCTGGAAGCCTATGAGTGTAACATTAGTAAAGGCTTTTGTTTTGTTTTGTTTTTCCTTAGTTCATAATTTTAAGTGGACATGTTTCAACTCATTTTTGATTTTGTGTTTCATACCTGTTCATATGGACATAATGGTCAGGAAATATGTTTTAAAAGATATAATCTCCGTAGTATTAAAGATAAAGTATTAAAATTCTACATAACTATCTAAAATTTATTCTTTGATTTAGAAAAAACTAGGTTGGTTCTAAAAAGATATAGTGGTCATATTTTCTGTTGTTAGTTTGTTTTTATTTAGCTATATGTATTTTAATAGGGAAAGAAGAATTTTAAAATTTATTGTGACTTGACATAGTCTAGACTTTTCCCTTTCTTGGCATGTTTTTTGCTCATAAATAGACCGTTTGGAATGAACAAAATGTTTAAGTGAGAGCATAAAACAGTGGAAACAAAGATAAAATGGTCAGCTGTCCATGATTTTGAACTCCTCTCCCATATTGAGGATATCTGCACAGCTTCCAGACACTAGACGAATGATAATTACTGTCCTCTCACTCCATATCCATACCCAGGCTTCATTTCACTGCCTCATTCTCTGTCGTGGAGCCCTGCGGTCCATGGCCATATTTTAAGAATTCTCAAAGCTGCCTCCTTTCTCCTCCTTTTGGGCATGTATAATTAAGAATTTCAGACAATATGTAATCTCAGAGATGCCCTTCCTCCCCTGCACGCCAGCTTCTCCCACATGTGTACACAGCAGCGCCAGGCCATGGATGCCCAGTGTGAATCCCAGACAAAGGGGACCCTCCCAGGCTTATTTTCACCTGGAGCTTTTGCCCAGGGATGCTTTATCTGGCCAGGAAGGAGATGTTCATGTTGCACGAGTCACTTCCTGGTTTCTGGCCTTGCAGGCTCTCTCCCCAGGCTTAGGTGCCCCCTCTATGTAGCATTGTTAGCAGATCACTCTCAACTGTGAGAGAGCGGAACAGAGGAAAGGGTGGTAGCTGCCATCAGAGTGGGAGGCCTGGTGTTTTTGTCTGACTTCAACCCCTCAATAGTCTGTGGCTTCTCACCTTAGTCATCTTTACCTCCAACAACCTCCATGGAAACCTCATAAAGTCTCAAGAATTGAACAGTATACATAGAAACTTGTACAGGGCTGTGCATCCAAACACACTCATGAGTGTTGCTCCTGATTAATTCACCCACTCTCCTACCATCTGTGTTTATCCATGTCCTCTAGCCTCTCCCCTACTACCATATCTCAGACACTCACTGCCTTTAATTACAGTTCCACTTGTCTGCACAGCTCTCGTGGAAATTTTGTATCTCCTTTATACATATTTTATGCTGACGTCAAGTTCCTTAAGGCACTGAGATCTCAGACCCTGAAGACATCCTGTGATCCTTTCTGACTGGTCCACATTCCACAAGCTAGGGTTCAATCTATCCATACGAGGGACAGGGGGAGCTCAAAAACATGAGGGTCTCTGACTATGAACATATCTAGGCAGAGCCCATAAGCCAGATGGAAAACCTTCTCCTTACACTTAATCTGCTGATGGAGTTTGCAGGGGAAAACAGGTAGGGGGCGGGGCAGCTGATCACCTGACACGTCAGAGCCTTTCCCTGTGTGTTGACATTTGTCACAACTATATTCTAGCTTTGGCAGCATTTCTAACAGTGCTTAAAATGGAAACTGTTTCTAGTTTTTTCTTCCTAGAAGGAACACCACAGTACTTTTCAGTGAAGGGTCCCATAATCTGGCCTCTTGCCAGCTTGACAGCTTTAACTTGGGGCATGTGTCCTGAATTGACAGTTGTGCTGTGATCTTACTTGTGTTTCTGTTCCAATAGTATTTTGGGCCAATAAGTCCCAAAGGAGAATGAAACTGGTTGTATAAGCAAAGGGAGCAAAGCAGAGATCCCGAGTTGCTGGGGAAAGTTTTGAAATATTTTCAGTCTTCACTTGGTCTAAGTACTGTGTGAGGCTCTAAACACTAGATTTTTAAAGGATTCTATAAACTAGCTTTTAGCCTTGGAGTGTGCCTTGTAAAATAGAACTTTAAATCCTTTTCTAAAACTAAACCAAGTAAGTCGATTGCTATCTCCATTTCCAAGTCTCTGTGGCAGAGCTGAAAACATTAACCCACTTGGAGTGTAGGACATTTCATTGCCAAAGAAAGCTCAGGCTTGAGCTTGAATTCACATAGTTCAACATATCGAAGCTCCTGTGAGCTGACATTAGGGTGGATCTCAGAGCTACCAAACGACTGTTTGTTAGCTATCCTCCACAAGGATCAGTGGTTTAGTGATGAATGGCTGTCCACCATCTCTGTAGCCAAACCCAAACCGGCATCCAGCAGACTGAAGGGAGAGAAAGTGGATTCAATCCACTATCCTCCACCAGCTGTCTAGCTAACAGAGCTGAGCTGTGTAGGAAAGGCAGTGACATCTCGTTTGCACTTACTATAAAATGGGACTGTTTCTTCACTTGTCTTCAAAACTCAAAGTTCAAAATGAAGTTTGAAGAAATAATATTGTTTATTTATTGCATGTGGGGCATGTCGGTGTGTGATGCATGTGGAGGTTAGACGGCAACTTTTGGGAGATGGTTCTCTCCACCGTGTAGGTCGTGGACATTGAACTCGGGTTGTAAAGCTTGGCAACAGACACTTTTACTTGCTCAGCCATCTTACTAACCCCAAAATGAAGTGTTAAATGTTCATACTATTAATGAATAATTTCTTCTCCAATTTCCCATTTACTTTGTGGCATATACCTTCCAAGGCTCACACCTAATGGAAGGGAAGTTGGAGTATGGATTGATTTTGAAAGCGAATAGATACAATTCTTTGCTACATAATAGCTACATGTCTTGGGCAAACATAAATGAGGCCATGGTAGCCCATAAGCTGAGTACTCAGGAGACAGAGGCAGGAGGATCTCTGTGAGTTCGAGGCCAGCCTGGTCTAGTGAACGAGTTCTAGGACAGGCTCCAAAGCTAAAGAGAAACCCTGTTTTGAAAAAAAAATCTCAAGGAATCTGAAAGTGTGTTTTCCCATCTGGGTAAGAGGGGAAAATTAGTCATTCCTTGTAGGAATTGTGAGAACAAAACCATGAAGTTTCAATAAAGCCTCTTACTCAAAGAATCTGCTCTTTTTAACAACCTGAAATACAGAGAGGGCTTTTAAAGGGTTCCTCTCTGGCTTGAGAGCACAGCACCTGGATCTGTCTGCAATGTGCTTAAAGCCCTTGAGGAAGCCATTTGCTCAAAGCACAACTTACACAGTCACTGCTAGGGTTCCCTGAGTAATCAGTTAAAGAGCAGTTATGGGATTTTTCACATCTAAAGAGTGGTATGAATGAATGCAAAGCACTGCAGGTTTTTACAACAAGTTAGAGTCGGGGATCCAGTTACTGAGAAGCTGAAGAAATGAGCTAGAAAGTCCACACCATTTCTTGGAATGCAAACCCACCCATAGGTTGAGCATACCCTGTTAAGTAGAGGCTAGAAGTAAATGTTCTCTGCCACACTTTAACAGCTCCAAATTGCTCAGCCTTAATGAATGCTAACTGAATCACCACACTTCCTGAATAACATGGAAAAAGTGAGTGGGAGGGGATTCATGCACGAGTAATGCCTTTCACCCAGGAGCATTGTTTTGACATCATGGTAGCTCCATCTCATTTTCTCTACTCCATCCTCTCTTCATACATCATTAGCACTTCAGAAAACACATCCGTGATACGATCGGCTGGTCACACACAGGACTGACAGACTGAGCTGTGTCCGGTTGGGATTTTCTTTCTAATAACAAACCTGATTCTCTGGCTAGCTACAAAGAGCCAACATAGGCAGACACGATTTCAGCGTCTGGATTTCTGCTTTGCCTTGTATGACATCAGCAGAAGCCATCCTTTGAGTTTTGTTTGGTGACAATTTATGAACACGGATACTGTTAAAAGCCGAGAAGTCCCAGCTGGGCATTCTGATCCCTAACACGGAGAGCAGGGAGCAGGCAAGAGAAGTTGAAGGCACAGCTAACAACTCCATGGAATATGAAAACCTCTTTCTTTTGACTTACCCGCTTAGGGCAATGAGGGTATTTGTCATTTGTCAGGCGGGTGCACAATTACAATCCTGACATTTTACCCTTGATTACTTCTTTCTGTGTTTAAAATCTAGCCATGAGGCTTGCTCTGCCTGCCTTGTTGTCTAAATGGACAGAACTGGGTGACAGGGTGCTTTAGTGGGCTGGACAAAGTCCCAGGTACTCAGCCAGCCGAGCAGGCCAAGTGGAAATACTTTCCCACGCTCCCAAGAGAGCAGCTTGGCTCCAAGGATCCTGGACAAACATCCAGGTACCGGCTAGAGTTCTACTTTGAATCAATGATTCTTATGGCTCTAATTGAGACAGTTTGTGGATTCGGGGAATATACAAGCAGCCATTAAACTACTTTAACAAATAGCCTATCATCTGATTGCCTAAATGTGTACAGTCACTTGAAAAATCTGATTTAAAATGCCATCAACTTACAGGAAGTACCAAAGGGATCTCTCTCTCTCTCAAAATCAGCCAGACCTTAGGTTTTGTTCTAACCCCTACCACCACTATTAATGGGAATAAAAAAAAAATTCAAGACATGCTCCACCCAGAGTAAATACCACAAAGGCATCTGCTTTGGTTAACACTTCAAATGTGCATTTAAGAAGTTTGAAACCACTAAAAATACATGTCATCAGAGTACCTCTGCTCAGATCATTAATCCAAGTTTAGGCCACTGTAAACAAACTGAAAGACTCTTGATAATTGCCCTAGAGAAGGGTGCCTGTCTGGTGTGCAAGATGAATGCAAGCCAGGAGTCTGGTCCTGAGTTCAGGAGGATGGGCATGGTCATAATGGCCTGACATGGCTCTCTCAACTGATATCTAAGAAAAGCATTCATGACTTGACTCACCCAACTTGTCATATGTTTATGACATATGTCACAAGTTTATGAACTTGTCATAAACAAGAGGAATCATGTCCTATCCCCTGATGAGAAAAGACCTTCTATTTAGCATTGGCTCGTTCCTTCCCAAAGCCTTCTTTCAATCTATCTAAATCCTTTTACCATCTTACTGACAGTGGCAAGTACTGCTCAAAGAGAAGGATGGATATTTCACACTCAACACTAGTGTACTCAGAACAGAAGACAAAACAGAAGTGGATTGCTTATCTCCTTTCCCCAACATGGGCTCACATACCCATGTCCACAAAGGCCTGACAGCTGACTCCAAACTCTTACACACCTCTGAGGCTCTAGGCACCAGAGCAAAAACCTCAGCCCACATGCTCTTCCTAGTAATTGGGACAGTGATGGAGGAGGCAGCCTTTCTGAAGACATGATATCTGCCCACCGGTTTAAAAAGTGTCTGTGAGAATGACAACAGCCAACTCAACTACATAGATCAGACTGACCTAGGACTTACAGAAATCCGTCTGCCTCCCAAATGCATGCGCCACCATACTCCACCCCCATCTTTCCTGAACAAGAGGCTGGCTCAGCCCCGCTCTGTCATCCAAGATGTGACTTTACAAAATGTACACAACAAGCACATCAGTGTCCCTCCTCAGCACGTGAGAGAAATGTGCCAAAGAGATTACTTACGAGAAGTCGTCGTTTGCCTTCAAAAGACCCCAGCAGGTCGCTCACTGACTTCTTGGGACTCGGAGTGAGCTGCTTTGGTGTGGGCTTCAGAAGGTAGCCATCCTGCTCTGTCTTGCCCGCCTTTTTCTTCTTACTCTTTTCTTTCTCCTGTTTGCTCTTTTTCTCGGCTTTCTTCGTTTGCTTGTCACTCTTGAGTAACTTGTCTGGTTTCGCACCCTTCCCTTTTTTTTTCTTCTCCTTCTCAGGTTTCCCGAGTTTTTCGTGCTTTTTCGACTCCTTTGCATTCTGGGAGGGAACATTGTCCACCTGCAGCTCCTCCTCCCCTTGAGAGGCGGTGGGTCGGCTGGGGTCGTACTTAGCTTCATACTCATTGCTAAGAATTTTGTCCTTCTTTTTGGGCAGCTTCCCTTTTGCTGGCTTGTGAAGACCTGGCACCACATTTGGTTCCTGATGGCCATGTTCTCGTCTATCTGTCCGGTTGTCGCGGGAACGACTTGTGCCCACAGCTCGTGTGCTGCCTTCCCAGAGGGTGGTGGGCGGGGCTGCTGTGACACTCCCATAGTTGGTGGCTTTACTGGGCCTTCTGGTGGCCTGTGGCTTCTCCCTCTGTTCCTTCCGAGTTAGAGGGTAGAGCTGCTCTGAGACGGAAGTGACCTTGACAGTGGTCACCTCAGCTGTTGCAGGAGGCCTGTGAGAGACTGAGAAGGGATGCAGCCGGGATGTCCAGGGCCTTTGGGTGGTTGGAAAGGCAGTGGTGGTTGTAGGTCTTGCAGCTATTGTCACCATCCGGGATGTGGCCCGAGTAGCTGTTGTGACTGGAGCAGGAGGAAGGGTGGTGGTCCTTGGGGTTGGGGGAGGTTGGGGAACAGCTGCCTTGGTGGTGGCCAGCTTTCTCTGGGGCTCTCTGGTGGGGTGGACTTGGGCTCTCCTTGGGTCTTCCTTCCTCTTCTCACTGCCCAGGCCTGTGCTTCCCGCCCCTCCTCCGCCGCCATTGTTCCCTTCCTGGACCACATGGCCCTCTATGCCCGAGGCCTTACACTTTTGGACAAAACCCTTCTGTCTGATCTTTTCGATCCTGCGGATGGGGCCTTGGTCAATGACCTCATACATGGCCTCCAGCCTGACAGGGTAAGGGTAGCGCTCCTCCACCTGCAGAGTCTTCTTTAGCAGCACCATGCTAAACTTGCCCTTCTCCAGTTTTAGGAAACTCATCAGCTTTGGGATGAGACTGGGGTCCAGAGGCTGCTCGAGGATCTGGCCTTCACTGGTGATCCTCCGTACCTTGCCACCTTCCTCACCTGCCTGGTGGAACAGCACGATCTGTTGGATGTGCCTCTCTGCCAGCTCACAGTACACATCATCCTTCAGGAGGCTCATCATTAGGCGGTAGTAGCCCTCTGAGGCGTGAGGGGCTGAGATGACCCACACCCTGTTCTTCCCTGCAAAGCTGGCCAGGATATTGGGAGAACTGGACCCAGAAGGGAACCGCAACATTCTCGACCGGGCAGAGGACCCCTCATCCCGGACCATCTCACGGGGAGAGCTCCTAGCTATTGGTCTCAACTCAGGTCTGACCGGTACTCCATTGATACCTAAGGGAGTTGGCTTCGCAGTCGGGTGAGCTAATCTCAATACCGGTACACTCTTCCTCCTTTGGGAAGGCTGAAGATTTGATTCTTCCTGAGTGGATTTCTCAGTTCCACCAGACCTCCCGGTGTGCCTCAGATACCGAGCTGACCTAGCGCTGATTGGAGAGGCCAAACGTACTTTCCGTCCTGTGTGGCTGTCTGTATCCAAGACAGGGGAATGAGACTCTAATCCACACATCAGCCACATGGCCAACAGCATGGTGGTGAAATGGGGTCCCATTTTCCACATCATTGTGTTATCCACTTGGGAATGCAGAGGGATCATAGTATGAGAGAGAGAGAGAAGAAGAAAAAATCATTAATTGCAAATAGAGCTGGGCATTACCACTTTTTCGGTCTTGACCAAGGGGAAAGGGTAGCTAGAGAAGAAAAAGGAGGGAGAGCAGAAGAGACAAAATCACTTCTACGATTGACAGTGCTTAGCATGGTCAGTCATTAAGCAAGAAATCCAACCTTGCTTCACAGGCAGGCGGCAGGCATGCTTGCATTACCTCAGCTGTGCTCTGGATGCACCAGAGACCATGTAAACCAGGCATTGTACTTATGACAATATTGAACAGCAAAGCAAAGAGCAAAAAGCAAAGATTGCACACTTACATCGTGGTTCATGGAGATGGGATGCAGAGGCTTTCAAAAGAAATGGAAAGGTTAGTCCCTAGGACGCTTTCCTAGATGAAATCGTTTCCTTCCAGCCCTCTGTCTCCTTGTGGAGGGTGAGCAATACCAAAGGGGTGTGCTGCAGCTCCTGTTTGAGAAAGCAGCCCCAGGAAGCTCAGCCTGTCCAGCCCCAGCCGGCTGATTCCTTTTCTTTTGGGCTGTGTCTTTTTACCTTCTGGTCCAGCGAGATGAGGTGAAGGTTGCTGTCCCTGGGACTGGCCGCGTCTCCATTTGTCTGCAGTTTCTCCTGGATCTGTGTGAGCTAGTCCCTTGCCGCCACAAGAATTTTCCTTAAAGTGAAGTCTTAGTGATTTCTGAATCTCACTCTTGCCCTCTGTGGAGTTCCAAGATCGTTCTTATCACCCTTTCCCAACACAGTCTGGCTGAGTCCCTTTGTTTCCGAGTGTAAAGGCACTGGGATTAATATGTTTTCCAGGCTGAGGGAAGACAGAAGAATGTGAAAAAGGACAGTTTCCCCTCCTTTCCTTCTGCCTCTTCTCCCTTTATTTCTCCCCACCTTTTTTTCTCCTCTTTTTTTTTTTTTTTTTTTTTTTTTTTTTGCCTTCTCCTTCTATTTCTTCTTCCTCATCTGGGTTCCATTCCAGAAATGTCAGGACTACCTCAGGTTTGTCCAAACCAAACTCAAACAACAGCAGCCACTGGAAATCAAGAAAACTTCACTAAGAATTTAACAGATCAGCAAAACACGCCTCCTTCTCATTTCAGTACTGGAGAGTCAGTGAACCTGGTGAGAAGGGAGAGGGCTGTGCTTGGGCTGGGAAAAGTTTTGAAACTCTACACATCCTCGTAAATCATTCCAGAATAGGATGACTGAGGACTTAACCCCTTCCTTACCGAACCATGAGGGCAGTTTCCCTTCCTGTCAGTTCTCACACTGTGCTTTGAAAGGAGGAAATCCTCAGGTTTCCCCACCTGGCTGGTTTTCCTGGAGATAGCTGCTCATTTGGACCACAGAACTTGGCCATGCATATCCAGACGGCAAGTGTCTATTTATAGTTCCACACATGTATTTTTATCTCTTTCTGTATGCTTTGAGTTTGGGGTTGGAAAAGCCCATGGAAAACATGACTAAGTTGTTTTTATGTTATGCTAATTGGAGCTCATGTTACTGTGTTCTTGGTCCTTATTTCTCCTTGGGATGGGTGGAAGCCGGTAAAAGGTTAGCAATGCAGGCAAAGCTGCTGTCTCCTGAGACTGTAGTTGGGCATTACATCAGGGAATGGGCATTCTGGCTCCCAGCTTCTTTCGAGATGGTGAACACTGTGTGTGTGTGTGTGTGTGTGTGTGTGTGTGTGTGTGTTACAATATTCAGCTCCCCAGATGCTCTAGGAATCTACAGTCTTTTACAGTTCCAAGAAGTAGTTATGTGAGGGCCTGGGAAGACAGCTCAGTCAGTTAAGTCTTTTCTTCTCAACCATGAGGACCCGAGTCCAAATTCCCAACATTCACACAAAAACCGGGCACCAAAGCTATAACCCTGCCACTGGGGAAAAGGAGCAGATGCACTTGGATCCCTGAAGCTCACTAGCCAACCAGTCTAGCTGAATCAACAAGCTCCAGGTTCAGTGAGAGACCCGTTTCAAAAAAGTAAGGTGGAACAGGTACCAGTCAGGTAAACAGTGCACATGTATATATGTAAGCAAAACATTCAAACAAAATAAAATAAATGTTTTATATATATATATATATATATATATATATATTCATACACAGGCACACACACACACACACACGCATACATATATATAATGTGGAGGGTCTGGACAGACTCCATGGTTAAGAGCATCAGTTGTTCTTGCAACTGCCACCAACAGGGGCATCCCAGGTACCACCTAAGCTTCTCTCAGTGGGTAAAATCCTCATCCCCAGTTGCATCCTTCAGTCACCTCCATCTCTCCTAGATACATGTGCCTTTCCTGCATACAAAGCGCTTAGCAGAGAGTTGAAGAAATTTCTGTAGGAGGCCTTGGATGTAGCACTCTTCTCTCATTGTTTAGAGTGCATAGGGTACCAAGGGGGAAGATGCCCTGTCCGGACGCTGGGCGCCACTGTGAATGCATAAAAGTCACAGCCGATTTCAATTCAAACTATAAAGTGGATCAATGCTCCGAGCCCAGTAATAGATTCTCAGTGTTGTTTCCATTATTTTCAGATGCGTTTCACACAGCTGAGTCTTCCCCCTTCTCTTATTTGTTGTTGCTATTTTCTCCTCTTTCCCCCTACTGACAACAGCTACCAGTTTCCAGGCATTTCAATGATCTTTGGTGCTTTCCTATATTCTGTTAGTTAACATACCTGTAGTATAGGGGAGTAATAGGATGACCCCCCCACACACACACACACACTTTATAGCTGGACAGAGGCATGTTTCAATAAATCTCTTGGAGTTTAGACCTGGTGTTCTGTGGGGTGGGGTGGGGTCCTACCTTCATCTTTCATTTTCTGCCCACACCTTTCCTTTTTAACATATACTCTCAATTCGTTTCCCATTTTCATCAAAGAGTCTCCTTGATTTGTTCCTACTGGAGTGCTTATCATCTTAGAGTTCTGCTTTCTGAAGTGATTGTGCAGTTTACCTTTTGCCTTTCTCAGTTTGGTTCTTTAAAAGTCTCATTCTTTGCCCTGAATTCTCATGCACTCCACTAACTCCCCAACCATGTTCACAACATTGGAAACCAGTGCCCACTCTGTGAGGGAGTAAAACAGAAATATAGTTACATCACTGAGTTGGTGGTGCCCCAAGAGGAAGCCACCTCAGCCGGAGCTGCCTTTCTCTTCCTGGAATCCGCAACACTAGGCCAGTAGATGGCGTACTAAACACATGAGCAGGAGGAGTTTAAGGAACAAGTTCATATCCAACCCCTTTATAAGGAGACTTATAATGAGTAATTTGTGGCTTGCAAAAATCTGAATTTCTATGTTTTAAAAAGTTGCCCATTTACACCAGTCCATTTTGCAGCAACCTAAAGGAAGAAATAATTTAGTATGGGGATGAAACAGATCTAGAGGAGAGACGTGTACTCAGCCAAAGGTAAAAGGGTATAGGAATTCATTTAGGGGAGTTGTTTTGTTTTGTTTGAGACAGGGTCTCTTCACATAGCCCTAGGTGTTTTGGAACTCACTACTCAGACAAAGCTGGCCTTGAACTCATAAAGATATGTGTGCCTCTGCCTCTTGAGTGCACGGGTCAAAGGTGTGCACCACCACATCCCAGCCAAGAGTAAAGGTTATACATGCTAACTTGGAGATTATGTGATAGGAAAGTACCTGGTGTTGATTGCATAGTAACTGAGCTGGGGGGGGGGGGAGTATCAGGATTGCTTTAGAGAAATGAGGGTGGGAGGTAGCTATCTGATGAAAGTCAAAGTGGATATAAAGAGACAGACATCCAGAAAGGTGACCACCAGATGGCTAGACCCACATTCACAGAAATGTGTTGTCCTAGGCACACCAGAGAACCCAGGCTGCCCATAACCTGCAGACAGCTCTCTTGTACAACGTAACATTTACTAGACGCCACTGTGCTGATCTCAAAACACTCTTCGGTTGCCTGCTTAAAAGGAAACGGAAAACAAGTCGGGACAACCCAACATTTCAGTGTGATGGGACAGGGAGCAAAGGGGGAAAAAACAAGGTGGCATTTCAATGTTGCAGGACAGGGGAGTCACCACCTGGGCTCCAGGAATGTATTCTCCCCAGCAGAAAGGCAAGCAGAGCCATTTGATCACACTCTGAGGTAGATACTGAATATTCACACAGTGGATGTTGCTGTGGTTTTTCTTTCCACCCGCAGACCTTAATCAAATGCTCTTCTTTGACCACATTCATGTTCTTCAGCTTGCAAATGAACCCCTTTCTTGTTATTCACTGTATGGAAGGAACTAAAGTGGAAATTATAAAAAAAAAAATAGATAAAAGGTCAAGGGGAAACCCTACCAAGACAATAACTCAGATACTGAGGAAACCCAGAAAGGTTCTGAGAAAAGATAACCCCAAAGCAAATAAATACTTGAAACTAATCTCAAACTACCAACCAAATGCCACATACCTAACTTTAACTTGAAAACGCCTTTTCAAAAATGAATGAATAAATAAATAGATGGCTACCTAAAGAAAACCTGAAGAAGTACACCACTAATAGACATGCTGACATGGAAGGGGGAAATCAATCTCACAGTGCCCCATCCCTAGACAAAGAACTATAGGCAGGCAACCAAAGGATGCTGAGCAGTAGAATTAACTTCCCACAAGGTTGGGACCCTTAATTGGTTGTCTAATAGCAAATGTCAGCCCTGACCTCAGGTACATACAAGTTACGATTAACACCACCGTGACTAAGACAGTTGTATTTATATAGTTAGGTGTGTGTGTGTGTGTGTGTGTGTAATATATACTATGTAATAACAATTAACTAAAAAGAGGCCATGATTTGAAGACAAATCAAGGCAGGTACCTAGGAGGGGCTATAGGGGAAAACTGATATAAATATATTTTAATTTAAAAATAAAATACACACACACACTTGCCAGATGAGCTAATGGCCAAAACTTTCAAGAACTGTTACTTGTTTTTTTGTTTTTGTTTTTGTTTTTTAAGTTGACATAAGCACTTAAGAGTTTATTAAAGGAAGTTTAAAGGTACTTTAGAAGGTTGTCTAATTAGGAATATATTGATTTTACAGTTAGAGAACATTGAAGGATCTTACCCTAGCAGAAACTGGAGTCATTGGTTTCTTATATTTATTTACTTGGGTTTGTTTATTTTTGTTTGATGTATATGAGTGTTTTTTGCATGCATGTATATACACCATTTACATGCCAAGTGACTTCAGAGGCCATAAGTGGGAGATGGATCTCCCAGAACTGGAGTTATAGACAGTTGTGAGCTGCTGTGTCAGTCTTAGGAACTAAAAAAAAAAAAAAAAAAAAAAAATGGATCTTCTGCAAGAATAGCAAATGCTCTTAAACACTGAGTCATCTCTCCAGCCACTAAGGTCTCTTTTTAAATCCCCACAGCCAGTGATTTAAAGTTCAAATTCTTACTGCTCTGTGTGAGAGGAATGATCCTATCTGAGCATGAATCTTCTGCTTAGAGTATCAATCCAGCATTAGGGAGATGTGGTTTCAAAGCCTTTACCACTACATATAACTGATTTCTATCCATCACATCTGAAAGGGAACATTCTGGTTGCTTCTTTCTGCATCCCTGTAGGTATATTCAAGATGGAAAAGATGCAATTTCTTTCTTACTTTTCTGTTTGTTTGGTTTGATTTTGGGTTTGTGTGTGTGTGTGTTAATTTTGGGTTTCTCCCCCACCCCACACCTGCCCCCACCCCATACCTGCCCCCAACCCACCCCCATAAAGAGCAGATTTTGCACCAGGATTAACAACCAACCAGACCGGCATCCTTCCCTAGAAGCTTACAGCCTGTAAGAGAAGACAGGCAAACACTACAGTCTCC